CTGAGCGAGAAAAGGCTATGCCCCGACATAGTTTTAAGTTAAATTTAAAGATGAAACTAAGACAGAAGATAGCTCTAACAGAGAACTAACTTTCYATCAAGTTATATTATAAAGATRCACAAAATGAACGATGCTACAAGGCTCCAAACCAACGAAGGGCGTTTTGGGGTATGTATTGAGGTGTAGGGTTACAAGGGAGGAGTCTATCTGAAATTGGTGTAATATTAGACACGTGGGGATATCCTAGATGAAAATGTGGAAACTGAAATAAGCTGCCTTGTAGTCTCGTTATACTGTCAAACCTATAGTTCTTATCTGACAGCTTAATGGAATATTCGAAATTAAAGAGAACTTTAACTAACTACTTCCACCAAATTACCAAAATGAAGTTAATTATCGTGTAATCTCCCGCTAAACATGACTCTGTAGTCGTTAATGGTTTTATCTCCAAAGACATGATGTGTAAGACAACAAAATAACGTGTGGGTTTCAAATTGCGTCTTTTTTCATCACTGAAAGCCGACACGATGAGCGGTGACGTCATAGTTAGCAACTCATTCCTCTGAACAATATTCTTGACTACATGACAAACAACCAACAGAGCTTGCAATGCTCTAGCAGAAAGCTATTCACATTCGCCGAGGTAACACAAGTACAATACAGGGTTTTGTCGGCAAGCTACCAAGACCGATATAAGCCAGTATTCGCAGTATATATGCAGTAGTACATGATCTATTACATCACTGGCAATCTCACGTTCAGCAAGGTTATAAAGGTAAGGTCTTTAATGCTCTTTTGTGGTACAGATTTTTGGGTCTCTTATCAAAAGTGACAATGATAATCATGGATGTTAGACTGCAACGTTGAGGCTTCAATGTGGTAGCTTGACAAAGTTGGTTGTGTTTAGCTTGGCGCCAAAGCTGATGTCAAGACTTGTTACTGAGCACTCAAACGCTCTCCCATTTGCTCATTTTAAACCTTTATTTGATGAAAACAAATTGGTAGTAGCTGGAAATCTTTTCAATTTGTTATCAAATTTATTAAAAACGTCTAAAAGGCTAATTTGGCTCTCCAAGCCGGAAACAGAGAGTCTTTTCTCTGCTCTCATTTAGCAGCTCTTTCCGATGAACAGAAGGTTTCATTTATTTGCTGTCAATTTTCTACCTGCCCTGTCAAAAAAACTCATTGTCACCGCTGCGCAACCATTTTTAGTAGTTCTAAAAAACTGAGGATTTGCCCACTTCACTGATCTTTTATAAAGTAAACGACTGTCGCTTAGCATGACGGAAACACGTCTTAAAAACTGATTCTTAACAAATCTTTACATTTATGGAGTAAGGAGGTTGGTTATTCTGTAGTATAAAGTCTACCTGTGTCTCATTTCATCATCGGTTTAATCGATTATTTTTATCTATAAATAAAGCCGAGTTTCATGTTTAGAAGACCCGATCAACTGGGATTAACAAGATAAGAAAAGAGTCTTAAACCTTATTACAACAGAAATATCAGGTATCAAAGCGGTTTTCATTTTTAAAAAGTGCATGTTTAAGTACTGATCTCTGGTTGTTATTGCCTGTACCTACTGTTGTGAGGAAGGAAGGGTATTGCTGGCAATTAATCAAACCGAGCTCGACATTTTCAATCATGTTTCGACTTTATTCATTAAATAAAGAGCATGTTCTTTTGAAGTCAAAGGCTAAAGACCTGAGAGACATTCTATTACATGGGTTTTTTCACGACTCTTTTACTGGTTCCACCAGATTTCACGGCACCTTGAACAAACCAATGCCACGTGACTATCAATTAACCAATCAGAGCGAGTGTTGTACATAATCACGTGACTATCACTGATAGTTTTATTATTTAATGTGGGTGTCTGTAAAACACGGAACACCACCGGAACACCCCGGAAAAACCAGGAACATGGCCGGAACACCCCGGAACACCGCCGGAACACCCCGGAACATGACGGAACATGACGGAAAACGGCCGGAACACCC